ACTTGGTTTTATAAAAACATACGGACAACCCTACGGCTGGCAGCGACTAGTTACAGGCTGGCAGCGACTAGTTACAGGCTGGCAGCGACTAGTTACAGGCTGGCAGCGACTAGTTACAGGCTGGCAGCGACTAGTTACAGGCTGGCAGCGACTAGTTACAGGCTGGCAGTGACTCCATCTGGCTAGCTAGTCAGACAACCAGTGCTTAATTTGAGGGGGGGGGGCAGTGGGGGGGCAGTGGAATCCACCGACGAAGTGCTCAGAGCAGAATTCAAAGTAGGGCTGTATAATATGCAAAAAGGTATGGAGCTTGGGTCTAGAAACTACTGGAGGGATTAAACTAGCAAAAGAGTAGGTGGAATGTGTCTGATGTAAAAAAAAAAAATGCAAAAAAAACAACAAAGAGCCCTCAGGAAAAAAAGGTTTTCGAACAGGTGCAGCAAACCTTGTTGACAAAGCCAAAGAGGACACCCAGGTTATAGTTAACACTCAAAATGATTTTTTTTTACACTACAGCCAGAGTCTTCAGAGCAGCCTTAGGAGGCTAAACGTCACAGCCACAGGTCATGGCTTGGAGCAAGAAATGGACTCTCAGGAGTTAAATAGATTTGACATGGGGAGAGTCATTGTGGGAGGTTTTGAAAACTAAGGTAGGATGTATTTTTTCCTTTTCAAACTTGTTCTGTACTGTGAAGGTAAGCTGAATATGTGCTTCATATTATCACATAGGCAGGAGGCCTATATATTCTCATAAGTGTGTTCTGCTGTAGCCTACATTGATTTATTTTATTTGAAGTTATATTCCGATATTGTGATATTTGTTCTACAGCTACATTGATGTCTTGAAAATTATATGAAATTCGGGTCTTGTAAGCCCCACAGCTGAGTATGTATGCATATGGCGGGTGTTCTGCAGTTTCGTCTAAAAATGTTGCTGTACATTGATGTCTAGAAAATTAGGCTATAAGAAATTCGGACTTGTGTAAGCCCCGCAGCTAAACGCAAGTATGTAGGCATAATGCAGTGACGTCTTAAATGGTTTGAATTAATATACCTAATACACACAAAACTAGTAAGGAATGGAATTTAAGAAAATATACATATGGACAAGCAATGACAGAGCGGCATGGACTAAGATACAGTAGAATATTATAGAATAGAATGCAGTATATACATATGAGATGAGTAGTGCAAGATATGTAAACATTATTAAAGTGACTAGTGTTCCATTTCTTAAAGTGGCCAGTGATGTCAATAGGCAGCAGCAGCCTCTAATGTGCTAGTGATGGCTATTTAACAGTCTGATGGCCTTGAGATAGAAGCTGTTTTTCATTCTCTCGGTCCCAGCTTTGATGCACCTGTACTGTCCTCGCCTTCTGGATGATAGCGGGGTGAACAGGCAGTGGCTCGGGTGGTTGATTTCCTTGATTACCTTTTTGGCCTTCCTGTGACATCGGGTGCTGTATGTGTCTTGGAGGGCGGGTAGTTTGCCCCTGATAATGCGTTCGGCAGACCGCACCACCCTCTGGAGAGCCCTGCGATTGCGGGCGGTGCAGTTGCCATACCAGGTGGTGATACAGCCCGACAGGATGCTCTCAATTGTGCATCTGTAAAAGTCTGTGAGGGTTTTACGTGCCAAGACGAATTTCTTCAGCCTCCTGAGGTTGAAGAGGCTGTGTTGCGCCTTCTTCTATCATTCTTTATGTCATTTATCATTGTTTCATAGTGTAGTTTCTTCTTATTTTTATTCAGTTTAGTCACATGATTTCTCAATTTGCAATACATTTGCCAATTGGTTGTGCAGCCAGATTTATTTGCCATTCCTTTTGCCTCATCCCTCTCAACCATACAATTTCTTAATTCCTCATAAATCCATAGGGATTTAACAGTTTTTACAGTCATTTTCTTAATGGGTGCATGCTTATTAGTAACTGGAATAAGCAATTTCATAAATGTGTCAAGTGCAGTGTCTGTTTGCTCCTCATTACATGCCACGGACCAACATATATTATTTACATCAACAACATAGGAATCACTACAAAACTTATTGTATGACCTCTTCTACACAATATTACGCCCAGCCTTTGAAACTTTGGTTTTCCTAGATATGGCTACTATATTGTGATCACTACATCCAATGGATTTGGATAATGCTTTCAAACAAATCTCAGCAGTATTAGTAAAGATATGATCAATACATGTTGATGATTTAATTCCTGTACTGTTTGTAACCACCCTGGTAGGTTGACTGATAACCTGAACCAGGTTGCAGGCAGTGGTTACAGTTTGAAGCTTTCTCTTGAGTGGGCAGCCTGATGAAAGCCAGTCAATATTTAAATCACCCAGAAAGTATTCCTCTCTATTGATATCACATACATTATCAAGCATTTCACACATGTTATCCAGATACATCTCAACATCAACTGTTCAGAGGAGACTGCGTGAATCAGGCCTTCATGGTCGAATTGCTGCAAAGTAACCACTACTAAAGGACACCAATAATAATAAGAGACTTGCTTGGGCCAAGAAACACGAGCAATGGACATTAGACCGGTGGAAATCTGTCCTTTGGTCTGATGAGTCCAAATTTGAGATGTTTGGTTCCACACCTCCAGGCTGTGTAAGGGCTATTTGACCAAGAAGGAGAGTGATGGAGTCCTGCATCAGATGACCTGGCCTCCACAATCACCCGACCTCAACCCAATTGAGATGGTTTGGGATGAGTTGGACCGCAGAGTGAAGGAAAAACAGCCAACAAGTGCTCAGCATATGTGGGAACTCATTCAAGACTGTTGGAAAAGCATTCCAGGTGAAGCTGGTTGAGAGAATGCCAAGAGTGTAGAAAGCTGTCATCAAGGCAAAGGGTGGCTACTTTGAAGAATCTCAAATATAAAATATATTTTGATTTGTTTAACACTTTTTGGTGAATGAGTAGGTGTGTCCGAACTTTTGACTGGTACTCTTTAAGGAATACCTGGAATAGTATAAAGTAATCCTTCTACTCCAAAAGTGGTTGAAAAGTGGTTGTCCCACTGGCTATCATAAGTTGTATGGATAAGAGTGTCTGCTAAATTATGTAAATGTAAAATACTGTATGTGTATATATTTCCCCAAAAATATATGGGGGATTGGAAATACAGATACAGACAATTACAATAATGGAAGCTACAATCTATCTCCAATATTAAAGCTGATCTATCCCCTAAAACCCCTACAGCCAATAGAGAGGAAAGGAAAGGAAGAAGGAAATGAAGTTAGGAAAGGAAAGGGATTTAGGAAAGGAGGAAAGAAAGGGGTCACAGGCTGCTGCGGGGCTGCAGCTGGATACTATTGGGACAGACTAGTAAAGAAGCATCTGACCAATTACAAAATACTTTAGTTCTTTTTAAACCAAGATGATGGTGCTTTCAAGACAACTGGGAACTCGGGAGAAAAACGAGGTCAAATCATGACCTAGGTGATCTTCAGGTAGGAAAGTTGGAGCTCTAGAAATGGTGCTTTCAAGAAAACTGGGAACTCGGGGGGAAAAAATGGAGGTCAAATCATGACGTTTGTAATCTTCTGGTCGGAAAGTAGAAGCTCCAGAAAGATGCCCTAGTTTTCGAATTGGAATTCCGAGTTGGATGACAGTTCAAAACGATTTTTCCCAGGCGGAGCTCGTTTTTTGCCGAGTTCCCAATTGTCTTGAACGCACTGAAGTCGGATTTCCGAGATTTCCGAGTTCCCAGTGGTTTTGAACGCGACAGTAAAAATACCACACCTCCAATAAAAGTGAGTGGGATGGACAAATGTAGCGTTTGCGTAAGGAAGTGTCTTTTTCACGCGAAACTTGTTGGCACGTTTTGTCCTTCATTGAGGAAATAAGAAGCCTACGGAAAACGTTACCTGCAATGGACCATTTGTCATTTTCGTTAAATATTGCAAAACAGTAGGCTACAGGGAAATATAGATACATTTGCAGGTGTGACCATCGCCCCATGGTGTGACTCATGCCGAACATTCCTATGGGAGTTTTTGTAAACAAGTAAAAACATTTTTTATTTTAAAGGCTTCCACGTCCCACGTATCGGCTGTGATTTCTACTTGCAGGATATATAGCCTAGCGGTATGTATATTTGGATGAACTCAATTATGAAATATATGGAACGTATTTTTGTTTACCATTTCAATATCCAGTGATAGGTCATAGACATCGACACTGTGCAAATGGTAAGTCGGCGTTATCGTTTTACCGGCATCATGGTCATCATCCATTGAATTTGCGTAGTCATTGTCATAGTTGATTATGTACGGAAATTACTTTTTTAAATCCTCCTTCAACGTGCCAACTCTAGTTGTTGTAGGTCTGTGTTGTAACGTTTCTGTACTGCAAGTAATATATATATATATACATATACATACATACATTCTATCACTGTATTTCAAATTAATTCCGCATGGCAAATGTCTATGTGCGCAGCCCCCTCTAGTTATTTGCATACAGTAGGCGACACTAAGGAGCAATAAGAGGCTATCTCGCTCCGAGAACATAACGTTGTGGTATAGTATACCGTTTCTGCCATGCTTATTAACCATGAATCACTACAGTAGATTGAGAATTTGAGTTCAGAGACTGGACTTTTGCCTTCCTACATACTTCTATATTGGTTCACCAGTTGCAACATCTGACCTGTGAACACACATATCAGGCACTGTACTGGCAATTGCAAATGTGTGGAGAAGGCAGCAGGTACTCTGATACACAGTTATGGTCAAAGCATACACATGACATTTGCCATTTCATTTCTTAGTCCACCACATTCACACATCTCATATGGCCATTTCTGTTTTCTTTCAGTGGGAATTCAGCGACTGAATACAGGCATGGGCCAGCCTTCATTCCATGACTAACAACTCCCCGGCTCAATTGAGAAACTCCCAACATCCAACCAACAACAGGTGTTCTCTGCCAATACTAAAGTTCTCTCTGGATACTGTTGGTGAGACATTACAGCTCTACGATGCTCCAGCAGATTTTGACGGACATGTTCATATCCCCTGAGCTCCTGGCTGAGCTGAACGAGGAGCAGAAGCAGGTGTTGTTCATTAAGATGCGTGAGGAACAGATCCGACGCTGGAAGGATAGCGAGGCTCGACTGGAGAAGGAGGACGCCACTCTGAAGAAACCCAAGAAAGGTATCACTGAGCCGTCAACACTGACAATGTATGGTTGGGTGCATCCCTAATGGGCACCCTATTCATTTTATAGTATAGCACTACTCTATATAGTGCACTATGGGGGAATAGGGTGCCATTTTGGATATTTTCCATGCCTCTCTCTGTGAAAAGCATATTTACTGTTGGGCTCCTGGGATGTTTCTGTTTCGCTATATCCTAGCGGAGTTATTCTCAACTCCACGATGTTTGTCACATCAAGGTTGTGGAGACAAGTGTGTGTGTGGTCTGGATCTCCGACTACATCGAGCCGCTGTCAGTCGATACTTCTGAAAATGTAAATTCTTAAACCCTTACCGTGTACCTATGTTTGTCTTCTGTAGCTGTGTGCCTTTCTTTGTTTGCTGAAATCCATACTTTTTTTAATAAAACGTTAATCAAATACAACCACCGACTGTTTCCTCGTATCGACTGACAGCGACTTGATGTAGTCAGAGGTACACAGTCGTTGCAACCCAAGTCCACCGAGATGTACTGTACATATCGTGGAGTTGAGAAACCCACCTAGTTATATGCCAACCTGGAGACTAAAGGACATATAGGAATCTCCACTGAAACGTTGCGTTCAGATGTAGTGATGGAGAGTATAATTCACTCCTGTTAAAGTAGTCCCAACTGCAGCAGTGTTGCACTGTGGAAAATGAATTGAGTAATATTATGCTAGGATGAATTGAGTACAGTATTTCTCTAACTGGCTGTGCTGTGTGTTTATACAGTGGGGGGAAAAAGTATTTAGTCAGCCACCAATTGTGCAAGTTCTCCCACTTAAAAAGATGAGAGGCCTGTAATTTTCATCATAGGTACACGTCAACTATGACAGACAAATTTGAGATTTTTTTTCTCCAGAAAATCACATTGTAGGATTTTTTATGAATTTATTTGCAAATTATGGTGGAAAATAAGTATTTGGTCACCTACAAACAAGCAAGATTTCTGGCTCTCACAGACCTGTAACTTCTTCTTTAAGAGGCTCCTCTGTCCTCCACTCGTTGCCTGTATGAATGGCACCTGTTTGAACTTGTTATCAGTATAAAAAAAAAACTCAACTCGTCGTGTTTGGAGGACAAAGAATGCTGAGTTGCATCCAAAGAACACCATACCTACTGTGAAGCATGGGGGTGGAAACATCATGCTTTGGGGCTGTTTTTCTGTAAAGGGACCAGGACGACTGATCCGTGTAAAGGAAAGAATGAATGGGGCCATGTATCGTGAGATTTTGAGTGAAAACCTCCTTCCATCAGCAAGGGCATTGAAGATGAAACGTGGCTGGGTCTTTCAGCATGACAATGATCCCAAACACACCGCCCGGGCAACGAAGGAGTGGCTTCGTAAGAAGCATTTCAAGGTCCTGGAGTGGCCTAGCCAGTCTCCAGATCTCAACCCCACAGAAAATCTTTGGAGGGAGTTGAAAGTCCATGTTGCCCAGCGACATCCCCAAAACATCACTGCTCTAGAGGAGATCTGCATGGAGGAATGGGCCAAAATACCAGCAACAGTGTGTGAAAACCTTGTGAAGACTTACAGAAAACGTTTGACCTGTGTCATTGCCAACAAAGGGTATATAACAAAGTATTGAGAAACTTTTGTTATTGACCAAATACTTATTTTCCACCATAATTTGCAAATAAATTCATAAAAAATCCTACAATGTGATTTTCTGGATTTTTTTTCCCTCATTTTGTCTTCATAGTTGACGTGTACCTATGATGAAAATTACAGGCCTCTCTCATCTTTTTAAGTGGGAGAACTTGCACAATTGGTGGCTGACTAAATACTTTTTTCCCCACTGTACTTGTGTCTGTGGCGCACGTCCGTCCGTCTGTCTGTCTGTTTGTGTCTGTGTGTGCGTGCGTTTTGTCCATCAGCCAATGTGAAGAGTGTACAGTGGCTGACGGGGATGGATAGTGACGTGTGGGTGTGGGTGATGGGGGACCACCCTGCCGACAAGTCCTACGAGCAGATCTGTGATGACATCATAGCCCAGAGGGCGACCCTCCAGGCCCAGAGAGAGGCAGAGGAGCTCAGGTGGGAGGAAATTACATCGTCACATGCCGTACATTTTTTATTTTAATTTTTTTAGCAGTGCCCCGTGTTTGTGCTATAACCTTCTCCTTTGTTGCTGTCGTGCCAAAGCCCTTTGTCATTGTCAAACATGTTTGGCACGAAAAATGTTAAAGGTGTTGGTTAAAGCGGCTTTTGTGGAGCGACGGGTAACGGTGCTTCGAGGGTGACTGTTGTCGATGAGTGCAGAGGGTCCCTGGTTCAAGCCCAGTTAGGGGCGAGGAGAGGGACGGAAGCAACACTGTTACATAGGGAAGGGGCGCAGGTGTGTGCAGTAGCCGGCCGCGACCAGGAGACCCATGGGGCGGCGCACAATTGGCCCAGCGTCGTCCAGGGTAGGGGAGGGAATGGCCGGCAGGGATGTAGCTCAGTTGGTAGAGCATGGCGTTTGCAACGCCAGGGTTGTGGGTTCGATTCCCATGGGGGGGCCAGTATGATTTTTTTATTTTTTATATATATATATATACTCACTAACTAAGTCGCTCTGGATAAGAGCGTCTGCTAAAATGACTAAAATGTAAATGTAAAGCAGACCTGACTATCACCTGACTATCAGGTCATTAGCCAGATATTGGACTCAACACTCTAAATTGGGGTCAGCTTCATTTCAATTCAGTTGACATTTACCTCATAGGCAATTTTAATTGTTGTCAATTTTAATTGTTGTCATAGCCATCAATTAAACCGCTTTCTGACAGGAAGATGTCAGGTGGTTAAGCTTGTTGTCTTGAACAGTGGCATATAAACATGCTTAATTTACTACATGCCAACCAGACCCTGTAATGGGATGCAGTGGTTGATAGAAGTGCGTGTCTATGGTCTATTTTTGCCTTATCACACCAGCCATTACAAAATAACCTGTAAGGTAGGTTCTGCACAGATTCTCTGGCTGCCAGTAATACCCACAGGGCTATAGTTGGGTTTAATGTAGACGTCGCCCTTCCCAGCCAGGAAGTCCTAGTTAAACATTTCTTCAACTAACCTCACATTTTATTGAGTCGGGCACTCCCTGTGTGAGCTGTACTTGACCACGATAGTGTTGCCTATGACCTTGTTCCCACAACTACAGGTAGTCATTCAATGCTGTGGGGGAGTTTTGACTTCTTAGTCATGTTTCCCTGTAAAAGTGGTGATAATGATAACAGGCTGCTGTAACGGTTTGGTTGAGCCAAAGTTATCTATAACCCCAAATTAACCCGCAATTAGAAGACATGAGATAGCTGGAAACAATGTGTCATCTCCACCATTGGTTAGTTAAAGATGCCGTAAGCAGGTGAATCAGTGGAGGCTGGTGTCACTTTAAGTCAGAGGATGGGCTCATCGTAATGGATGGAATGAATGCAACGGTATGTGTTTAAAACCTTTCCATTTGGTCGATTCCAGCCATTACAAAATGCCCGTCTTCCACTGGAGAAGGTGCATGAAGATGACGGCCACCATGTACTCACCACAACTGCCTTTTATTGCTAAGTTCGCCGTATTGTACATTGCTCTCCGTTACTCTTTTTTTGTATTATTGATAGCACAGTATGCATGATCCAAATGCTAGCTCCAAGATGGTGGCCATTTTGAGAAAAAAAAAAAAAGAAGTAGATTGTGCTGATTTACTGTCACATTGAACCATCGCCGTACTTTAAGAACTCTGTGGATAGTGCTAAAAACATTGACGTCATTTCTGAATTCCTTTATCTTTATGCACCTTCGCCATTTCTCATTCCACCATCTGTATGTGTGGACGTTGTTGTTGAACGTTCTACTAAATTCACTTCATTCTGACGTTTCAAATTCTTCTATTCAGCTGGTCAGACCGAAGCCTTACTAAACCGCCCATACAGGTTAGATCATTGAATTCCATTTGAGAACATGCTGTCTCACACCCCACTGTTCTGTACTTGTGGATGCTTGAGTTATCTTAACTGAGTGGTTTCTACATTTAAACCTAAAGTAACTACTTTGTTCCAGACAGTCCATCACAGAAGCATGTATTATTGCATACTCGAATATCCACATTCTCCATTTTAATGAATGTGTTGATAATTCTGGGCCAAATCCTAACTGGAGATCTGTGAAATCCCTGTAAAAAGTTACAGGCAAGCAGCATTTAAGTTATGACTTGGTCCTCTGTGCCTGCCTGTTGGCTGAGAAGGCTACACGACTCCTAACTTGCCTCATCTTGTTCTCTGTTGACATCCTGATCTGGACTGAGCTTATGTGTCTTAACATTCCACTCCTCAGTCCTTCTATTGTTGATTCCAATGTGTGTCCTCAGCATGTTGGCATTTATTCATCATGAATCTTGTTCTGGAGGCAGCCCTGCAGTGGTCACTAGCTGGCACAGCCACAAAGTCATAAAATCTGATTTTAAACCTAACCTTAACAACCCTAATGCGAACCCTAATCTTAAATAAAGATCAAAACCACATTTTTGTTTTCATAAATTTTTACAATGTAGCCAATTTGACTTTACAGCTGGCCCATCTAGCGGAAATCGCTCAGTTCTGCCTCCAGGACAAGCCTCATCCCAATAAACGTCAACCTGCGTGGTGTTAGGGGGCGTGTCCTCATGAGTTGTAGGTGAATTCATGAAAAATAAAAAGGAAAGCGCTGCTGCTCATGCTCCCAGGCTCCATGGACGCCTGATGAAGACCTAAGGGTCGAAACGTTGTTATAACAAAATCACCCGGGAGCATGTGCAGCGTTTCCTGTTAATCTTCCTCGTAGTAGCCATGTGCCTGTATGGATAGGAAAAGTCTGCAGGTCCTTTTTCTATCCATGTCTCAGGGTAGGGGATTGTGGGTATGGGATTGTGGACTGTCATAGGAGGGGTCATGGTAGGGGATTGTGGACTGTCATAGGAGGGGCCATGGTAGGGGATTGTGGACTGTCATGGGAGGGGCCATGGTAGGGGATTGTGGACTGTCATGGGAGGGGCCATGGTAGGGGATTGTGGACTGTCATGGGAGGGGCCATGGTAGGGGATTGTGGACTGTCATTGGAGGAGCCATGGTAGGGGATTGTGGACTGTCATGGTAGGGGATTGTGGACTGTCATTGGAGGGGCCATGGTAGGGGATTGTGGACTGTCATTGGAGGGGCCATGGTAGGGGATTGTGGACTGTCATTGGAGGGGCAAGGTATTTAGATTTCAGGAAAAGCTTTACAAATCAGTGGACAGGTAAAGATATACAAGTGATCGTGTGTGTTTTCACTCAGTCCCTCCCTCTAAAGCCAACACCACTGTGTGTGTTTTCACTCAGTCCCTCCCTCTAAAGCCAACACCACTGTGTGTGTTTTCACTCAGTCCCTCCCTCTAAAGCCAACACCACTGTGTGTTTTCACTCAGTCCCTCCCTCTAAAGCCAACACCACTGTGTGTGTTTTCACTCAGTCCCTCCCTCTAAAGCCAACACCACTGTGTGTTTTCACTCAGTCCCTCCCTCTAAAGCCAACACCACTGTGTGTTTTCACTCAGTCCCTCCCTCTAAAGCCAACACCACTGTGTGTTTTCACTCAGTCCCTCCCTCTAAAGCCAACACCACTGTGTGTTTTCACTCAGTCCCTCCCTCTAAAGCCAACACCACTGTGTGTGTTTTCACTCAGTCCCTCCCTCTAAAGCCAACACCACTGTGTGTGTGCGGGTGCGTGCGCAGGGCGAAAAAGGAAGCGGAGCTGGTCAAGAGGTTCTCCAGTGTGTTGATGGACTCAGAGCTGCAGTCATGGAGACAGGAGGTGGAGCGACAGGAGGTGGAGCGACAGGAGGTGGAGCGACAGGAGGTGGAGCGACAGGAGCAGGCCAGACGGGCTGCAGCTCAGCAGCAGAACCAACAGGAGGTGGAGCTTAAGGTACCCTAACCCATCATCAAGGTACCCTAACCCATCATCAAGGTACCCTACCCATCCCTAAGGTACCCTACCCATACCTAAGGTACCCTACCCATCACATTCACATTCACATGCCACAGTCTATTTAGAGTTACATGTAATCCTGACATCCAGCCATAGACTTAGCTAGATAGACATCGCATCATTGTATCTGTCCCATTATGGCGTCTGTGAGAATATGGGCAGCGCCATTGAGGCCATCTCCATTTTTGAAGTAGTCCATTTTGTATGCACTCAAAACTGTAAGTCGCTCTGGATAAGAGCATCTGCTAAATGACTAAAATGTAAATGTAAAATATAGCCCCTGGTTCTCCTCAGACTTGACTGCCCTTGACCAGCACAAAAACATCCTGTGGCATACTGCATTAGCATCGAACAGCCCCCGCGATATGCAACTTTTCAGGGAAGTCAGGAACCAATATACACAATCAGTTAGGAAAGCAAAGGCTAGCTTTTTCAAACAGAAATGTGCATCCTGTAGCACTAACTCCAAAAAGTTTTGGGACACTGTAAAGTCCATGGAGCATAAGAGCACCTCCTCCCCACTGCACTGAGGCTAGGAAACACTGTCACCCCCGATAAATCTACAATAATCGAGAATTTCAACAAGCATTTGGCTACGGCTGGCCATGCTTTCCACCTGGCTACCACTACCCCGGCCAACAGCTCTGCACCCTCCGCTGCAACTTGCCCATGCCCCCCCCCCCGCTTCTCCTTTACACAAATTCAGACAGCTGATGTTCTGAAAGAGCTGCAAAATCTGGACCCCTAAAAAACAGCTGGGCTAGACAATCTGGACCCTTTCTTTCTAAAATTAGCCGCCTGACCATGGTGCTTGCCTTTGGAGCAGTGAGGGGAACGGCACCCCTGTACCTTCAGGCTCTGATCAGTCCCTACACCCAAACGAGGACATGCGTTCATCCACCTCTGGCCTGCTGGCTCCACTTCCTCATGCGGAAGCACCAGCTCCACCTCAGCCCAGTCAAAACTGTGCGCTGCGCTGGCACCCCATGGGGGAACAAGAAAACCCCCCCTCCCCCCCCCCCAAAAAAAAAAAAAAAAAAAAAAAAAAAAAAAAAAAAATTTTCCCCCCAAAAAAACCCCAAAAAAAGGCCCCTTTTAAAAAAAAAAAAAAACCCAAAAAAAAAAAAACCCCCCTTAAAAAAAAAAAAAAAACCCCAATTTTTTTTAAAGGGGGGGGAAAACAACACCCTTACTTAGCCTAATCCCTAAACCTAAACAGCCATTGGCAAAAACCCGGCCCCTGTCCCCCGGGAAGCACACCCCCCACCCATCAAAACTTCCTGCTTCACCCAATGGAACAACTCCCCTCACACAAACACGAGCACTCACACCTCCAACTTTTGAAACAACCCCCAAACCCAAGGAATACCTGGAAAAAAAAATAAAAACCCCCTAAAGAATTCCTAACCCCCCCCCCCCCCCCCCCCCCCAAAAGGGCCCACTGCCTAAGGGACCCCTTTTGGAATTGTCGCTCGGCTAAGATCGTCTGCAAAATGACGTTAATGTGCCCTTGAGCAAGGCACTTAACCCTAATTGCTCCTGTAAGTCGCTCTGGTTAAGAGCGTCTGCTAAATGACTAAAATGTAAATGTAAATGTAAAATTGTCGCAACCCCTATTACTAGCCTGTTCAACCTCTCTTTCGTAACGTCTGAGATCCCCAGAGATTGGAAAGCTGCCGCGGTCATCCCCCTCTTCAAAGGGGGTGACACTCTAGATACAGACCTATATCCATCCTGCCCTGCCTTTCGAATGTATTTGAAAGCCAAGTTAACAAACAGATCACCGACCATTTCGAATCCCACCGTACCTTCTCCGCTATGCAATCTGGTTTCCGAGCTGGTCATGGGTGCACCTCAGCCACGCTCAAGGTCCTAAACAATATTATAACCGCGATCGATAAAAGACAGTACTGCGCAGCCGTCTTCATCGACCTGGCCAAGGCTTTCGACTCTGTCAACCACCGCATTCTTATTGGCAGACTAAATAGCCTTGGTTTCTCAAATGACTGCCTCGCCTGGTTCACCAACTACTTCTCAGATACAGTTCAATGTGTCAAATCGGAGGGCCTGTTGTCTGGACCTCTGGCAGTCTCTATGGGGGTGCCACAGGGTTCAATTCTCTGGCCGACTCTATTCTCTGTGGTGCTGCTGGTGACGCTCGGATCCACCTCTATGCGGACAACACCATTTTGTATACATCTGGCCCTTCATTGGACACTGTGTTAACAAACCTCAAAACGAGCTTCAACGCCATACAACACTCCTTCTGTAGCCTCCAACTGCTCTTAAACACTAGTAAAACTAAATGCGTGCTCTTCAACCGAACGCTGCTGGCACCTGCCCACCCGACTAGAATCACTACTCTTCACTAGAGTATGTGGACAACTACAAATACCTAGGTGTCTGGTTAGACTGTAAACTCTCCTTCCAGACTCACATTAAGAATCTCCAATCCAAAGTTAAATCTAGAATCGGCTTCCTATTTCGCAAACAAAGCCTCCTTCACTCATGCTGCCAAACATGCCCTCGTAAAACTGACTATCCTACCGATCCTTGACTTTGGCGATGTCATTTACAAAATAGCCTCCAACACTACTCAGCAAATTGGATGTAGTCTATCACAGTGCCATCTGTTTTGTCTCCAAAGCCCCATACACTACCCACCACTGTGACCTGTACGCTCTTGTTGGCTGGCCCTCACTACATGTTCGTCGCCAAACCCACTGGCTCCAGGTCATCTATAAATCACTACTAGGCAAATCCCCGTCTTATCTTAGCTCACTGGTCACCATAGCAACACCCACCCGTAGTCTGCACTCCAGCAGGTATATCTCACTGGTCATCCCCAAAGCCAACACCTCCTTTGGCTGCCATTCCTTCCAGTTCTCTGCTACCAATGACTGGAACGAACTGCAAAAATCTCTGAAGCTGGAGACTCTTATCTCCCTCACTAACTTTAGGCGTCAATTGTCAGAGCAGCTTACCGATCACTGCACCTGTACACATCCCATCTGTAATTAGCCCATCCAACTACCTCATCCCCATATTGTTATTTATTTTATCTATCATTCCAGTGTTAATACGAAATTGTAACTATTTTGCACTATGGCCTATTTATTGCCTTACCTCCATAATTTACTACATTCGCACACACTGTATATATATTTTCTGTTGTATTTTTGACTTTGTTTTGTTTACCCCATATGTAACTCTGTTGTTTTTATCGCACTGCTTTGCTTTATCTTGGCCAGGTCGCAGTTGTAAATGAGAACTTGTTCTCAACTGGCTTACCTGGTTAAATAAAGGTGAAAAAAAAATATGGCACGAGTCCACCAATTGTAACCATTTGCGTCACATGGTGCTGCCCATTCTATAACAGGCTTTTGAGGACGCTAGTACCCAATCTATGGTTCCAGCCCAGTTCATCAAGTCTGATTTGTTGAATTACTTGTTTTTGTGCTTGGCTGGATCAAAAGGGGCGGCAGGTAGCTTAGTGGTTAAGAGCATTGTGCCAGTAACTGAAAGGTCGCTGGTTCTAATCCCCGAGCCGACTAGGTGAAAAATCTGTCAGATGTGCCCTTGAGCAAGGCACTTAACCCTAATTGCTTATGTAAGTCGCTCTGGATAAGAGCGTCTGCTAAATGACCAAAACCAACAGTACACCCAGTACTCTAGCTCTCCTGGGCTGCTTACCTTGAATCTTATACAATTTAACAATTATTCTAAGGTTTCTACAGTCATGGCATCAACTGTTTTGATCATAATTACAGTTTGACAGGTTATATGGTTAAGTATTAGCCCATTTATTAAAATGCAGTCATTGTATAATATTGTCACAGTATAATGAGTGTTTAAGTTATGTAAACAGGGAAGTTGATGATGCATTGATATGAAACAATTAGCCTCATAGGTGTTGGAAGCCCATTTTTCAACTTACAGGAACTACTCAATGTTTCATCAATGGTATTGTTTGCCCACATCCTCATGGCCATAACACGTTAGCTAAACAACCCCTATAATCTCTTTCCAGTTATCGTTCATTTAACCAACTTCTAGAATAAAGTCCTTCCTAAACAGTCAGTTTTTTTTACCATATGGGCCAGCTCAAAACAATTATTTAAATACATTTGTTTGAGCTCATAGCATCACTGTCTTTATACAGTGTTTGAAATTGACTTGATTTATTGCAGGTAAAACTCTGAGGGGAAAATATAACACACAGAAGCTTAGTAAAATGAGGAGGTACGATCTGTACTTGTCCAATAGGAAACGCTTGTTTGGGATTTTCTGTTGCAAAATGTTATTTACTTTTTGCCAGGTGTGCTCTAATGAACATGACCCTGGTTCAATTCCAAAACCCTGTTCCAGTGGGTTCCTCCTCATTTCCACCAACGTCTTTCTATTTGTTTAGCTGCTACTGTTCCATGGTGACATTTCTCTCCTTCCCACCTGTTTCTTTCAGAAAAGAGAGGCGGAGGAGAGGAGGAGGGCTGAGGAGGAGGTGCGAAGGGTGGAGCAGAAGAGAAAGCAGGAGATCTACATGGACCTGAGGGAGGTCAGAGAGGAGAGAGACGACCAACACTGGCAAGATTCATGTAAGCACACACACACGCTGGAGAAACTCTGAAGCATACGAATTCTAAGTCGTCAGTTTTGCAGTCAAGCTTCACATCTCAGAAGAATCTCGATTTAATATGGGGCAGAACAGACAGGTTTGGGTTAGATTGTTGACAACATGTAAACTATTTTTAGTCTCCAATATGTTTATTGAAAACATAAATACATTTGCACAATGAGCACTTGTCTCTCAGTTACATCGTTACAGTTGTTGGTTAGCTAGCTAGCGAATTTTAGCCAAATTAGCATTGACATGAAATCAGTCAAAACACCTCAAAACAAGACATGGTATAAAGAACAAGAAACTAGCTCAAACGAGTCACTTACGATTCCACACATGGCAGCTTCTTGTCATTGTTGGTAGCTATCTGGCCATCCAAAAACACAACAACTCACAGACTTCTGACGGTCAGCTAACCCATCTATTGGACAAGTGCAGAATGTGAATGTGATTCCTGAATCCTTGGAAACCTCAGTCCTCAGTCAGATCCTTAGCATGGCTTGGGGTGATGTGTTACTTGCCATTCTTTGTTGGAGCTAGTTTAAGAACAACACTCAACATGATCTCATAATGGTTGCGTCAATATTTTGACCTCATTGGAAAAGGTTTTGATTTCGTGTAGGAGAAGACGTATCTGGGGGATCCATGAAGTCCTATAGTTTGCCACAGACCTGAATATCTAGATTGTATAAATATGAATGTAAGTATTGTATTAATGTTAAATTGGACAAACTTACATCATATAAAATGATTATTATTTCCTCCATGGCACACTCCGAAGTATAATGAATATAGTTCAAGACAAAATAAGTTAATATTTAACCTTAATGTTTGACAAAGATTATAGCTGACCTTCAGTTGCACTGACTAACAGTATAACTAATCGTGCGACTTTGAATGTTTTGTATTCAGTTTCTGCCAAAGTGTGGACATACAATGTTTGTCTGGTGCTTGGTCTAAAATGTACACTAGTTTTCCACTGTGGCCGCTCTGAATGTGAGAACTTTTTCTGCTACTTTAACACTTATTATAAATGGGTTGAAATAAAATGTATGGAAGGCAGGAAACCCACTTGGCCCTCTGGAGATATAGATAGATAGTGTTATATATATATATGGCACGCCAGTTGATCATTACACAGATGACCGTTTCTAGGCCTTGTGACACGGTTTGTTTACATTCAATAGGGTAACCAGACAAATCATGACCTTGGGACTAAGGTTCTATCTTCGCAAAGCATAGTTCTAAGATATTGTGCATCAACGTTTTTACATCCCAGATCTAAGAAGCGTTTTGTAGTGAATTCTTCTTTCATAACCCATTTAAGGTACCTAAAGTGCAGAGTATCAAAATCCTGGGACATACGTCCAGTGGTAGATAGAACCTTATGGCTCTGAAATGTCAATCTGGGTTCAGCCATAAGGTTCTGTCTGACACTTCTGAATTAGACGTTCAGTTTTTTGAATGCATAATTAACCACGTTTACATGCGCAAAGTATTCTGGATAAGGGCACATATCCCGCTTAAGGTCTTATTCAGGATGAGCTGTTTACATGCATCTTTGATATCCCACTCATGAGTATCCCTGTAACCATGAATGAACAGAATATTCCTCATTTAAATATGGGTTAAATGGAATAGTAACTGGAAATATGGACACTGACTGTAGGCCTATAACCTCTCACATGTAGCGTAATATAATATTAACTCCTGCAGAATTAGGCTATGTATTTCTTGCAGTGAAATTATACAACAAATGTTAATTTTGTCTCAGGAACAGGAGTGGAGAAATATGATTTCTTTCTTTCAGCGTCTCTCGAGAAAATGCGAATGATCTTTGACATCGCAGACAGTATTTCAACCACGTAAAATATGCACCCAAGATGAACTGAAGTCAGAAACGTGTTTCGTCGTTTTCTCAGCTTTTCATTTCCTTAAAACCGGTCAAACTGATGACATTTGGACCGTTTGCACTGGACCAATCTTTCCACTGTTTTGGAGTTGTTGTGTTTTCTCCACGGTTCCTAAACGAAACAGACAACTTTACCGGTGTTAACTGGATTACTAATGCATTAATTGTATCGATGTAAGACGTTATTCTGGCGAGCACTACTTTATTTAGTATTCTGGGGCAACAAGTTATGACAGAAGAGAAGCTGCATGTATCAAACTATAGTTGACAAACACATGGCCTACCAAATGTCGGAAATTATGTGGCCTACCAAATGTCGGAAATTGTAAGCAGAAACTTGTCTAAATTAGAGATGAAAGTCGCCGGTTGTAAATTAATTATAGTCAGCAAAATTATTATTGAATTATTTTGGTGGATCGAACTGCTCAGGTAGCCTGCTTTTTGAAGTGATTTGTGAAACTGAGTCTGCGCAGACCGCAAAAACAACAGTAAAGGGGATAAGATGTTTACATGCTACAGTATCCCGTCTTAGAGCAGCATATCCCAGGCATCTTATCCGGGTTTCTCATAGCCGGGATACAAGCTTTTTCGGGTTATTGTAAACGGGATATGATGTTTTATATGCGTTAACTCAAAAACATAATACTTGAGTATCCCAAATAATAACGGGATATTGGTGTGCGTGTAAACATGGTCAGTGATTAGAATAACACTATTTTCTCAAGATAGTCCGAACACATCAAATACGTTGAGGAATGTATTATGATCATCAGACAAATGACTCATCACTGAACAACGATGTGACAACATCATTTACTTTACGATTTCTGACAGTTTCGTTTTTTTTGTTTTTTTTGCTTGCCATTATTGCTGGAAAGACTAGCCTAGACCATACTTAGAGGGAGATTGCAAAGACGTGTTCTGATTGGTTTGTCTGTATTTGTTCAGGCTTGTGATTGGATTGCAGATAGAACCTTATAGCGCCAAGTTCAAATGGGTTTATGCAGATCTAACTTTCTCGTTTTTAATTTATTTCACGTAAATTATGTGGATATATTGAAGCAACATCTCAAGACATAAGTCAGGAAGTTAAATCTTAATTGCAAATGGGTCTTCCAAGTGGACAATGACCCCAAGCATACTTCCAAAGTTGTGGCAAAATGGCTTAAGGACAACAAAGTCAAGGTATTGGAGTGGCCGTCACAAAGCCCTGACCTCAATCCTATAGAACATTTGTGGGCAGAACTGAAAAAGCGTGTGCGAGCAAGGAGGCCTACAAACCTGACTCAGTTACACCAGCTCTGTCAGGAGGAATGGGCCAAAATTCAGCCAACTTATTGTGGGAAGCTTGTGGAAGGCTATTCAAAACGTTTGACCCAAGTTAAACAATTTAAAGGCAATGCTACCAAATACTAATTGAGTGTATGTAAACTTCTGACCCACTGGGAATGTGATGACTGAAATAAAAGCTGAAATAAATAATTCTCTACTATTATTCTGACATTTCACATTCTTAAAATAAAGTGGTGATCCTAACTGACCTAAGACAGGGAATCCCATATAGATTGCAAAATAGTTGGGAAGACATTTGACATACCGATTCCATGGCATACTGTTTATTTTTATTTTTTATTTTATTTCACCTTTATTTAACCAGGTAAGCCAGTTGAGAACAAGTTCTCATTTACAACTGCGACCTGGCCAAGATAAAGCAAAGCAGTGCGATTTAAAAACAACAACACAGAGTTACATATGGGGTAAAACAAAACATAAAGTCAAAAAATACAACAGAAAATATATATATACAGTGTGTGCAAATGTAGCAAGTTATGGAGGTAAGGCAATAAATAGGCTATAGTGCAAAATAATTACAATTAGTATTAACACTGGAATGATAGATGTGCAAGAGATGATGTGCAAATAGAGATACTGGGGTGCAAATGAGCAAAATAAATATCAATATAGGGATGAGGTAGTTGGGTGGGCTAATTTCAGATGGGCTGTGTACAGGTGCAGTGATCGGTAAGCTGCTCTGATGCTTAATGTGAGGGAGATAAGTGTCTCCAGCTTCAGAGATTTTTGCAGTTCGTTCCAGTCATTGGCAGCAGAGAACTGGAAGGAATGGCGGCCAAAGGAGGTGTTGGCTTTGGGGATGACCAGTAAGATATACCTGCTGGAGCGCATACTACGGGTGGGTGTTGCTATGGTGACCAATGAGCTAATATAAGGCGGGGATTTGATAGCAGTGATTTATAGATGGCCTGAAGCCAGTGGGTTTGACGAAGAACATGTAGTGAGGACCAGCCAACAAGAGCGTACAGGTCACAGTGGTGGGTAGTGTATGGGGCTTTGGAGACAAAACGGATGGCACTGTGATAGACTACATCCAATTTGCTGAGTAGAGTGTTGTTGGCTATTTTGTAAATGACATCGCCGAAGTCAAGGATCGGTAGGATAGTCCGTTTTACGAGGGCATGTTTGGCAGCATGAGTGAAGGAGGCTTTGATGCGAAATAGGAAGCCGATTCTAGATTTAACTTTGGATTGGAGATTCTTAATGTGAGTCTGGAAGGAGAGTTTACAGTCTAACCAGACACCTAGGTATTTGTAGTTGTCCACATACTCTAGGTCAGACCCGTCGAGAGTAGGGATTCTAGTCGAGTGGGCGTCAAAGATCACTAGTGTTTAAGAGCAGTTGGAGGCTACTGAAGGAGTGTTGTATGCCATTGAAGCTCGTTTGGAGGTTTGTTAACAGTGTCCAATGAAGGGCCAGATGTATACAAAATAGTGTCGTCTGCGTAGAGGTGGATCTGAGAGTCACCAGCAGCAAGAGCGACATCATTGATATACACAGAGAAAAGTGTCGGCCCAAGAATTGAACCCTGTGGCACCCCCATAGAGACTGCCATAGGTCCAGACAACAGGCCCTCCGATTTGACACATTGAACTGTATCTGAGAAGTAGTTGGTGAACCAGGCGAGGCAGTCATTTGGGAAACCAAGGCTATTTAGTCTGCCAATAAGAATGCGGTGGTTGACAGAGTCGAAAGCCTTGGCCAGGTCGATGAAGATGGCTGCACAGTACTGTCTATTATCGATCGCGGTTATAATATCGTTTAGGACCTTGAGCGTGGCTGAGGTGCACCCATGACCAGCTCGGAAACCGGATTGCATAGCGGAGAAGGTACGGTGGGATTCGAAATGGTCGGTGATCTGTTTGTTAACTTGGCTTTCAAATACTTTCGAAAGGCAGGGCAGGATGGATATAGGTCTGTAACAGTTTGGATCTAGAGTGTCACCCCCTTTGAAGAGGGGGATGACCGCGGCAGCTTTCCAATCTCTGGGGATCTCAGACGTTACGAAAGAGGTTGAACGGGCTAGTAATAGGGGTTGCGACAATTTCGGCGGCTAGTTTTAGAAAGAAAGTGTCCAGATTGTCTAGCCCAGATGATTTGTAGGGGTCCAGATTTTGCAGCTCTTTCAGAACATCAGCTGTCTGAATTTGTGTGAAGGAGAAGCGGGGGGGGCATGGGCAAGTTGCAAGAACTGATACGCAAAACAACGCCGGATTCAAAACGTATAAATGTTCAATTTAAATTATTATATAAAATTCTTGCTACCAATAGAATGTTATTTGTATGGGGGATACAATATTCCCAGCTCTGCAGATTTTGCTGTGAAGAGACAGAATCATTAGATCATTTTGTTTTGGTACTGTCCATTTGTAGCTTGTTTCTGGACACAGGTCCAGGAATGGCTGAAGGATTGCAATATTTGCATGGAGCTAACCCTGCAGATAGCACTACTGGGTGATCTGAAAAGTCGTCATAGTCAATCGATCAATAATATAATAATACTTTTAGCAAAAATGTTTATTTTCAATTATAAACTGTAGAAACAATGACAATAGAAAGGTTCAGAACTTTTGTAAAACATCACAGTACAGTTGAAAAATATATGGCAAATAGAAATCCAATCTGGATGGTGTTAAGAGATAGATGGGAGGTGTTGAATGGAGCTGAAGGATGGGACTAATAACAACAAGATAACTAGTGTAATGCATGATGTGTCCATAATAAGTATATAGGTTATATATTGTGAGCTTTTGTGAAAGAGCACAGTTAGAAAGATATGGCATATAGAAGCATACCAGATGGACATCATGAAAATGATCAGAGGAAGTTCAGGAGTAAAAACAAACAAAATATAATTATTGACTGTGTCCATAAAATGTGTATAGTATGTATAAGCATGAAGTAGAGGCCTAAGCATTGTTGTTCACTAGTTTACTCCAATTAGGGAAGGGATAGGGTTGGAAAGTAATAAAGGGAAATATATATATATATATATATATATATTTTTTTTATAAGGATATGTGTTTTTTTTTTTTTAAAGGATGTGTGTGTGTGTATGTATATATATGCGAGAGAGAAAAAACTAAACCATATGGGGGATTGGAAGTGATGCAGACAATTACATTGATGGAAGTTACAATCTATCTGCAATATTAAAGCTGATCTACCCCCCCCCCCCCCCCCCCCCCAAAAAAAAAAAAGACAGGGAATTTTTACTAGGATTAAATGTCAGGAATTGTGAAAAACTGAGTTTAAATGTGTTTGGCTAACGTGTATGTAAACTTCCGACTTCAACTGTTCATCGGAAGAAGCATGAAGGTAGGATTTTGCCCATTTTGTGTGTGTGAGTTTAAATGTGTGTGTTTGTATTCTTCTGTGTTTTTCCACAGTGCGGAAGTCCAAAGCGGCTGACCTGCGGCGACGGTCCATTGCCAAGCAGACCCGTGATGACCACCGGCGGCAATCAGTCAAGGCTCTGGAGCGAGGCCGTGTGGCTGCCGTCACCAAGGCCTTCGGAGGGGACAAACCGGCCCTGCCGCCCAAACCCAAACCCAGGAACCTTACTGTGACCAGCGACACCCTTAACCCGTGAGCTGACCTGTGCCTTCACAGTAATACAGGACCTGTTCAGCAGAGTTGGGGTCAAATCCTTTTCAATTCAGTAAATTCAGGAAGTGAACTGAAATTCAAATTTTCCTCAATACTTCTTTGAGAAATGTGTGCATTTGTTGGAATCCGAATGTCAGTTTACTTCCAGAATTGAAAAGGAATTGACCCCAACCCTACTGTTCAGGAGGTCTAGGGTCCAACATTATCCAACATTCCGATATACAGTTGAAGTCGGAAGTTTGCATACACTTAGGTTGGAGTCATTAAAACTTGTTTTTCAACCTCTCCACAAATGTCTTGTTAACAAACTATAGTTTTGGCAAGTCAGTTAGGACATCTACTTTGTGCATGACACAAGTAAATTTTCCAACAATTGTTTACTTATAATTCACTGTATCACAATTCCAGTGCGTCAGAAGTTTACATACACCACGTTGACTGTGCCTTTAAAAAGCTTGGAAAATTCCAGAAAATGATGTCAAGGCTTTAGAAGCTTCTGATAGGCTAATTGACATAATTTGAGTCAATTGGAGGTGTACCTGTGGATGTATTTCAAGGCCTACCTTCAATCTCAGTGCCTCTTTGCTTGACATCATGGGAAAATCAAAAGAAATCAGCCAAGACCTCAGAAAAAAAATTGTAGACCTCCACAAGTCTGGTTCATCCTTGGGAGCAATTTCTAAACACGTGAAGGTACCACGTTCATCTGTACAAACAATAGTATGCAAGTATAAACACCATGGGACCACGCAGCCGTCATACCGCTCAGGAAGGAGACGTGTTCTGTCTCCTAGAGATGAGCGTACTTTGGTGCGAAAAGTGCAAATCAATCCCAGAACAACAGCAAAGGACCTTGTGAAGATGCTGGAGGAAACGGGTACAAAAGTATCTATATCCACAGTAAAACGAGTCCTAAATTGACATAACCTTAAAGGCCGCTCAGCAAGGAAGAAGCCACTGCTCCAAAACCACCATAAAAAAGCCAGACTACAGTTTGCAACTGCACATGGGGACAAAGATTGTACTTTTTGGAGAAATGTCCTCTGGTCTGATGAAACAAAAATTGAATTGTTTGGCCATAATGACCATCGTAATGTTTGGAGGAAAAAGGGGGTACTTGCAAGCCGAAGAACACCTTCCCAACCGTGAAGAACGGGGGTGGCAGCATCATGCTGTGGGGGTGCTTTGCTGCAGGAGGGACTTGTGCACTTCACAAAATAGATGGCATCATGAGGAAGGAAAATTATGTGGATATATTGAAGCAACATCTCAAGACATCAGTCAGGAAGTTGAAGCTTGGTCGCAAATGGGTCTTCCAAATGGACAATGACCCCAAGCATACTTCCAAAGTTGTGGCAAAATGGCTTAAGGACAACAAAGTCAAGGTATTGGAGTGGCCATCACAAAGCCCTGACCTCAATCCTATAGACAATTGTGGGCAGAACTGAAAAAGTGTGTGCGAGCAAGAAGGCCTACAAACCTGACTCAGTTACACCAGCTCTGTCAGGAGGAATGGGCCAAAATTCACCCAACTTTTTGTGGAAGGCTACCCAAAATGTTTGACCCAAGTTAAACAATTTAAAGGCAATGCTACCAAATACTAATTGAGTGTATGTAAACTTCTGACCCACTGGGAATGTGATGAAAGAAATAAAACCTGAAATAAATCACTCTTTACTATTATTCTGACATTTCACATTCTTAAAATAAAGTGGTGATCCTAACTGACCTAAGAAGGGGAATTTTTACTAGGATTAAATGTCAGGAATTGTGAAAAACTGAGTTTAAATGTATTTGGCTAAGGTGTATGTAAACTTCCGACTTCAACTGTAAATACTATTGTTGGTTATGTAGAGGAGGGAATAATTCTGCAATTGTGTCAGCTCTATTAATTCAATTTATATATGCAGCATTAAGAATGTTTGACATCACTGAATACACCCTGGACTAGGCTCAACCCCACTGAAACCCAATGGTCCCTTCCCCTAGTTACTACCACTTAGGACTTTGCAGGTCAGAAGGTCAATAATATAATTATTCAATAATATAACTATTCTATACTTTGCTCCTGTATTTTAATCCTGAGCTTAGATCATTATTAGACCCACTGGATTCAGAGAATCATCCTAGATTCCTACTCTTTCCTTCCATGAAATAGGAATCTAGGGAGATTCTCTGAATCCAGTGGGTCTAATAATGATCTAAGCTCAGGATTAAAATACAGGAGCAAAGTATAGAATAGTTATATTATTGAGTAGTTAGTTAAATCCACTCTATATTCTCACTGGTATTAGTGAACCAAAGCTTTCCACCAGCCTTATATGGTGATGGATGTGTGCCGGAGTCGTCCTGTAAGGACACATCTCTGTGCTCGTGCTTGTGATGGTTTGTCTTATTCACTGAACGCTGATGTCTAGGGATACCCCTTTCGGATAAAGCCATGCAGAAAAACAGTGAGCCTTCGAGCTTAAACGCATGAATGCCTTTCACTGGCTGGCTGACAGCCTGACCCACTCGTTTTCTCTATCACTGTCTGACAGGAAGCAAGGGGTGCGACGCACACTGTCCACCTCTGGCAGAGAGCACATCATTCGATGGTTCCAAGAGGAACAGCTGCCTTTCCGAGCGGGTTTCGAGAAGGACCAGAGTCGTGTCGCGTCTTGGTTCCATGGTAAGGGGCCAAGTTGCGTCTGAAACGTTTCTAACTAAACAACAAAGATTACATCTATAATGGACAACATAAGGTTATTTTGAATATAGGGACAAATGCAAATAAATCTGGATTTGTTTACATTAGACCAAAAGACAGTAAGTCAGTTACTGTATGTGGGTCTCCATGCCACTCAGTACAGTTGGCTAGTAGTAGGTCTGATGCCTCCTACTGTTTGAAATATCTTAATTATACCACAGAATACACAAGCTTGATCAATTTAGTAGTACAGTGGTAGGCAACCCTGTTCCTGGAGTACTGCAGGATTTTGTTCCAACTAGTCACCACACCTGACCAACTGAGCTAATTGTTTAGGTGATTGCCTAAATTCAACACACCTGGTCTTCCAGGTCGTTAAATCAAAAACATGAAGTACATGCTGGGCACGCCAGGACCAGGGTTGCCTAGCTACCCCTGACGTAGTAGGGGCACCTACGCAAATTCTGCTTCTATATCTCTGCTGCTATACAGGGGGTTTATCATTGACTCTCTTGCCTTGTGACTTCTCCTATATTAAAACGTATCTGAAAGGACTGGCAGTAGTATGATCAGAGCAGAGGTGTATTCACTAGGAAGCAAATGGAACGAAACAGCGAGGGACCGACCTGAATGTGTCCAATAGAAACTCTCGTTTACGTTGCGAAATGTTTTTCGTTGCGGTGTGCGACTAATGAATACACCCCAGCCAGGTTTCTCATGTTGAACGGAAGCAACGGCCCTGTCCAGAAACAACCCCTTGTCCCTACTCCCGAGATGCACTTGTGTAGCTCTGACTGGGTAGGTGTAAGCAATATGGAGAAAATAGAAACTGGCCTATCAAAAGGCCAGGTGGAGCTATTATATATTACTTAAACCTATCAAATCCTGTCAGATCTCCCCAAGTATCTCAGAGCTACAGGTCGTTTCTGGAGAGTAAAACAGAATATACAGCATGTGGTCTTCAGCTATCCATCCTTAATATGTCACGTCAGGGTGTTATTCTCACGTTGCAATAATTATAACTGACCCACCGTTACTTTTCCCACCAAGGCATCATTTCGAGGCAGGAAGCCGAGGACTTACTGAGCGAGGGAGTACCCGGGCACTTTCTGGTGCGGGTCAGCGAGAGGATTCTTGGATACGTCCTGTCTTATCGATGCAAAGAGGAGTTTAAACACTTCCTCATTGACGCTACAGAGGGCTGCTACATGCTGCTGGGCCACCAGATCAGATTCACCTCGCTGGCAGAGCTTGTGGAGTACCATGAGGTAGTGGCACATTTATAGCCCTTATTTTGTAGTTTTTTATTTTGTAGTATTTGGGGGTTGTTTAGGGTAGTTTTGATGGTTTTAATGGAACTTGTCGTGATATGTGGTTGTTTTGCCTACTTTAGTTGATTATATGTCGCTCTGGATAGGCGTGTCTGCTAAATGACTACATTTTTTTATAATAAAGGATTTACTGTGGGTGGGATGTTGAATATCACCTCTTCTCTACCTCAATATAGAGACAATAATGCACCTTGTTTTGTATTCACATGAACTCTGTTGAAGTGGAGTAGAATAATATGACGTGTTGCGTTTTCTTCTGTCACTAGGGGGAGCCAATCACCATGTCAGGAGGGGAGCAGCTGCTCCAGCCATGTGGCCAGAAGCCTAGTGATGTGGACTATGCAGACCTCTTTACCTGAAATCCAGCAAGGGTCATGTCCCAATAGTCTAAAACGGCCTCCTCTCCTAGTCTCCTTCCTTCATGACCACTGGTCAGAAAGGTCTCAAAAGGTGAATGATTGAGACCCGGTCGTTTCACCTGTCAGCAGCTTTTAAACAGTCTATGGTTAGTTCAAGGCGGTAAAGAGACAAGGAAGGAAGCCACTTTAGAGTATTAAGACACAACCCTAAGGCAGAGACACGAGACGGATCTCTGTGGAACAAAGTGTTGCTACGGGAGACTCACTATGGCTACATAACCGACAGAGCTTGTTTTCTCAGGAGGGTTTACAGGATGTTCAGATGGAAGTGTAATGTTTAGAACCGATATGTTCTAAATCATGTAGAATATAACAATAACAGAATAACTATTTTTCAAGGAGGAACTTCGGTTAACTTCATTAATATGGAATCGTGTCATCTCTAGTCATTCTATTTCTATCTGCAATGTTCAGAAAGCTTCACATCAGTGTTGACATTGACACTATTCCCCCCCCAGTGCCAACTGTCAAGCCACCGACTTTCTATTATATATAGACCTCCTCTAACCCCCATATACAATATGAACAGGGCTGTAATATCATTACAGGTAATGTAACCTGCGGCAAAATTGTAAAGGCACATTTGACAGCGACAACATACAACAGTTGCCTGTTTGGGGACGAATGACTTGAATAAATTCTGCACTTTGTATTGCAACTGTCTAGTTGGTTTCAATGCTGACCTGAGGGGTATACTAGTTCTACAAAAAGCATGATCAATGAGTTGGCTAGCTAACTTGCCTAAATATTCTGAATTGTTTTTATTTTTAGAAAGATACGCTTGAAATAGGCATGGTCTAATTGACTCAACAACCAAAAACACATCTAGGTTTAGCTTTCTTAATGAACCGGAAAATCTATAGTTATTTCTGGTTGTTTATCAAAGTTAGCTGGCTAACTAATGTAGCCTGGTTTGGATTATACCCCGATAGGAGTCTGACAAAACGCATGACAAAAGGATTCATTTAATTTTGCATTTCTAGTTTTCTAAAAGCACATTATGCACATAAAATACATTGCCTGCGAAAGCAACAATATTGACAATGTTCTAAAACTGATTTATCTTTGGGGAGTCGACGGCTGCGTTTACACAGGCAACCAAATTCTGATCTTCTGCCACTGATTGGTCTTTTAGACCATTAAGATCAAATATTTTGCCAATAATGGTCAAAAGATCAGATTTGGGCTGCCTGTGGAAATGCAGCTTACATGTAGTAGAACCAATATGAGCCACACAGCCCTAAAACAAGAATAAATTCTACTCCAGTAATTTAATAAACTATTTTTAAAAGGAAGAGGCTGCAGAGCAGACTTTTCTGGACCTTTCTTCCCGACAGCTGAAGGTCCTGATGCTTCTGCGCATTTGCGGGATTCTCTACTTTACGCAGTCTCTGCTCTACTCGCCTTGTGTATTTCTCTGCCAATCATGAATGATAATTCTTCCAGTTTTACTGGTGAAGTGTCCATGCAGCATCTGCCTACCAACCATTTGATCTCAATCCGTTTCATGGGAATATGCATTTATATCTTCTTGAGTTATAGGCTACAATTTCAAAGTAGCCTACAGTGTTGTTTTGAATTATGTAGAATGAGTGAATTTTAGAGCAGGTGGTGTTAACAAGCTGTAGAATAGCTTACTTGTGTTTTTAGTTTCAAAGCAAATTCTTCCTAGCGGCGCGTGCTGTTGAGGTTTGATCTCAATCATCCTACGCTATACACTATGCTATTATATTGGGTTCTGTTATGTAGAGTACTGTCTTTATGTGATCTTGCAGTCATTGATTCAGCTTTTATCTAACTTTATTAAAGGAGCACCATTCGCCAGAGTAGCCTGTTCCCTATGAGTAGATCAGAGACTGTGAGTAAAGTAAAGAATTCCTCACATGAGCAGAAGCTTAGGAACTTTTAGCTGTTGGGAAGAAAAGTCTGATCCGCAGCCACTCCGTTAAAAAAACAAAAACATAATTGATATTAAATCCTCCCTGCTGGGTGAGTCATGATAGTGCATTACAAGGAGGAGTTGACTGATCCGATACTGGAGTGGAAGGAGGGCTCCAAAAACCCAGCCAGCACAATTTGTACACAGGAAGCTAACATTTCACAGCTCTTATGGTCCGATAGCCTGTATATCCACCTGCCGTTGTGGGTGATACGTCACTCGCCTGTTCTGCTCATGCGGACATTTGCATATTCTCCGGTCAGAACCTGACAAACTTGTTGAGTGCAGCAGCGCATTTCCCCCTGGCGCACCTTGGCTTTTGTTTCCTTACCGATAATAAAACGTTGTACGTGTGCGTTCATGCAACAGTAAGTACCTTATCATAATGCATGTTTCCTTCATTTTCCCCCATGAAGAAATCGGGGAGGGGACTGTGGATATGTCTCTGTCCGTCCTTTAGTCACACATGTTGTCTCGGACTCGCTATAACGAGATTGAAAATGCAAACTTTAGGCCTCCCGAGTGCTTGACGCGTCACTACAGACCCGGGTTCGATCCCAGGCTGTGTCACAACCAGCCTTGACCGGGAGGTGGGCCAGGCGCCTGCAGGCTGACTTCGGTAGTCAGTTGAATGGTGATTGGCCCAAGGTGGGCGCTATAGTAATCAACTGTACGCACGTTAGTCACACGCAATATATCAGACACCATTGGCACGATAAAAAATATATATTTTTCGTGATATCCAATTGGTAGTTGCAGTGTTGTCCCATCGCTGCAACTCCTGTACGGACTCGGGAGAGGCGTAAGTCGAGAGCCATGTGTCCTCCGTAACACGACCCTGACAAGCCGCACTGCTTCTTGACACACTGCTCGCTTAACACGGAAGCCAGCCGCACCAATGTGTCGGAGGAAACACAGTACACCTGGCGACCGAGTCAGCGTGCATGCGCCCCGCCCGCCACAATGAGTCGCTAGAGCGCGATGGGACAATAACATCTGCCTCATGGGTCTCCCAGTTGCTTATGGCTGCGACACAGCCCGGGATCGAACCCGGGTCTGTAGTGAAGCCTCAAGCACTGTAGTGAAGCCTTAGACCGCTGCGCCACTCGGGAGCATTGGCACAATTTTTACGAAACTTGGGTGAATGATTTCGTCTTGCCATAGAGATCCATCATTTACAAAATGACACTGATTGGCCCAAGCTGGGCGCTATAGTAATCAACTGTACACACGTTAGTCACACGCAATATCTCAGACACCATTGGCACGATTTGGACAAAACTTGGGTGAATGATGCGTCTTGCCATAGAGATCTGGCATTTACAAAATGACACTGATTGGCCCAAGGGGTGTGCTGCGTCATTCGTGGGGGACATGTTTACTGTAGCCCTTTTTTTTATTTTTTTATTATCATTGATACACCCAGCAGTCATACGAGACAGAACTTACTTACCAAACTGTCACCAAGCTCTCTCTCTCTCTCTAGACTGATTGGAGAGGTCACGTGGAGGGCTCTGTCTCTCTAGACCAGGGTTCTTCAATTCCGGTCCCGGAGGTGCCGAAACACCTCTGTTTTTCATCCTCTCCTTCTAATCAGGGGCTGTGTTTCAGCCCTCCAGGACCGGTGTTGAAGAACCCTGCTCTAGACTGATCGGAGAGGTCACGTGGAGGGCTCTGTCTCTAGGCTGATCGGAGAGGTCACGTGGAGGGCTTTGTCTCTCTAGACGAATTGGAGAGGTCGCGTGGAGGGCTCTGTCTCTCTAGACCGATTTGGAGAGGTCGCGTGGAGGGCTCTGTCTCTCTAGACCGATTTGGAGAGGTCGCGTGGAGGGCTCTGTCTCTCTAGACTGATTGGAGAGGTCACGTGGAGGGCTCTGTCTCTCTAGACTGAGTGGAGGGCTCTGTCTCTCTAGACGAATTGGAGAGGTCACGTGGAGGGCTCTGTCTCTCTAGATGAATTGGAGAGGTCGCGTGGAGGGCTCTGTCTCTAGACTGAGTGGAGGGCTCTGTCTCTCTAGAACGATTGGAGAGGTCGCGTGGAGGGCTCTGTCATTTTTCTTTCTCGTCTATTTTCACGGTGGAGGGCTAAAACATCGTTATTGACCCCCACGATGAAATCGGAGGTGGGACTATGGATCTTTATCCGTACGTTAGTCACACGCAATATCTCAGACACCACTGGCTCGATTTTGACTAAACTTGGGTGAATGATGCGTCATGGCATAGAGATCTGGCATTTAGAAAATTACACTGATGGGCTCAAAGGTGGCGCTATGGTAATCAACTGAAATTCCCAACTTTGAACAAGCATATCTCCTGTCCCGTTTAAGCTTGAATTGTTGTCACTGATAGGCCCAAGGGGGGGCGCTGCATCATTCGTGATGGACAACATGTTTACTGTTGCCTTGTGGTATATTGTGTTAGGATGTTTTCTACTTTAGCACACCTAGCTAGTCTACTTATTGGGCGTGTTCGAGCAGATCATTTTTGTCAAGTTGCGTTTCAAAGTGTCTTGCATTATTTAAACTTGACAAATCATGTGATCAAAGGTTATTCAGTTTTGACTGCAGTCACAGAGGGAGAGGTGAAGCTAGAGGGTTTACTCCACCCAAAATCTGTCCACGTTAAGCAGATCAATAATTATTAAATCAATTGAGGAGTTTTTCTATGGAGGGGCACAATGATTTTCGAATTTAGTCAAGATACAAATGTATTGGCATTTTGATACGCGATGCTTATTTGATCCAATAGAAGTGTCATAATGCTTAAGGTTACGAGTGTACTGATATAAGTGTGATGCACATGACAACCTGGCAACTTGGAGAAAAAACACTATCGGAGTTGTCTCTGTTGAAATTCGAGACGTCTATGCATATTCATGAGGCCATTGAATACAGACGGTTGACGTCAACACCGCACATAAAATATTCAAAAAAGTATTCAAATAACGACATGTATCCACCAATCCAAAGAGAGGATCAGGCGGGAGATTGACAGCCCGCCGTTCTGCTCTGTGGACAACGAATCCCATTGAGGGCGGAGACAAGCATCTCGTCATTGGCCGTGTTCGAGAGGATCAAAAGCGTAATGTATCATGGGTAAATTGTGACCGACTGACTGATCTACAAATAATGAGTAGTTATTTATGAAGCGAGGTTCTTTGTAGATCAGTCAGTCCGCAGTCACCTGCACTGTCGGCTGCAATGTTGAACAAGCCCATAATATCCAGGATCGTTTCTGCAGTTGTTCTTCACCAACTTCATCCTGCAGCCATCACCTGCGTTGTGGGAGGCTCTATTGCCAACCAACCAATCAGGGTGTTTTTGTTTGACCCCACGCCAATGTGACCAAAGACATGACTGAAACAGGAACCAACTTTGACACAATTCATTATACAGTGGATATATACACATTTTAATATGATATTTGATGCACTCTCACAGACTGATTGTACAATGTACACACGATTTCAGTTTGATTGTGTGAAATGGGGGTTGGAGACATGTTTATTTTGACATTATAAAGAAAAACTTTTAAACAATGGCAACACTGACATGTTGATCTGAGCCTTGCTGTTGGAAAACCACAGTGTCCAACTTTCGGCTGTCGCAGATGCATCTCCCCCGACTTCGCCTTACCATTCGCTAGCTAATTGATTTGCAGGTGGTGGCATCATGCCCAGTAATTGCTTATATGTATATAGAGCAATAGTAATGACGTATTTTTGTAGGCACTAATGCCACCATGGCTCATTGGCCAAAGCCTATGGGGAAATTCATTTTTGTAGAACAAAACATATAAGAGCTCCTAAACCAGTGTTAACCGC